AGCTGGGGACTGGTAGATGATGTTGAATTTGGGTAAAAGTGAGGTACTGCATTTTGGTGAAATAAACAAAGACACGATTGATAAAAATAAAAATAGGGCCTTGGGTAGTGTTGTAGAACAGACGGACCAAGGTGCTCAGGTACATAATTCTTTGAAGTTTGCGCCACATGTAGACAGGGTGGTTAAGAAGGTGTTTAATACGCTTGCCTTCATTGCTCAGACCTTTGAGTATTGGAGTTGTGACGTTATGTTGAGGTTGTATAGGACATTGGTGAGGCCTCTTCAGGAGTACTGTATCCACTTCTTGTTGCCCTGTTACAGGAAGGATATTTTTAAGCTGCAGAGGGTTCAGAAAAGATTTACCAGGATGTTGCTACAAGTGGAAAATTTGGGTTATAAGGAGAGGCTGGATAGACTGGGACATTTTTCGCTGGACCATAGGAGGTTGAGGGGTGACCTTTTAGAGGTTTATAAAATCAGGAGTGGCATAGATAAGGTGAATGGCAAGAACCTTTTCCCTAGAGTGGGGATTTCAAGACTAGGGGGGCATACTTTTAAGATGACAGGGCAAAGACTTAAAAAAGACATGAGCAGAACTTTTTTACACAGAGAATGATTCGTGTGTGGAATGAACTTCCAGAAGAAATGATGGATGCGTGTACAGTTACAACAGTTAAAAGGCATTTGGAAAAGTACATGAATGAGAAATGTTTGGAGGGATATGGACCAAGCACAGTTGGGTAAGATTAGTTTAGTTTGGGAACATAATCGGCATGGACTGGACGGACTGAAGGATCTGTTTCTGTGCTATACAACTCAATGATAGTGTGATGGAAGCATGTTCAATTGGGACATTCTAGAAGGAAATAGATTACTGTCTGAAAACAAAGAAAAAGTAGGACTACAGAAAGAAGACAGCAAAAGCACAATGGATGAATAGTTTTATTAAGAACTAGCTTTATTAAGAACAGACAAGACAGCCTCCTTGTATGCTGTAAGAATTATGCAAGCTGTACTTGACAACTGAGGAGAAAGGCCAAGAGTCTCAATAGATGAGAATGAACCAATGTGTGACATTACTAGTATCTAATCAGAATTGGATTTGGACTTGATGCAAAACAAAATACAAGCTCTGTTGGTCTGTAGATTATATGGAGTAGACTTTAAATTGTGTCATAAGGTATCACTGAAGCATCCTGAAAATAGCATAGCTTTTTCAACTACTTTAACGCTATAGCAGATAAATGTACCAATTTTCTGTTCCATAGATAAACAGATGTTTGCCTGAAAATTCCACCAATGAGTTTCAAGTCTCATCAGGTTTAATTTGGAGGGTTTGCTGAATAGAAGTGATGCAATTCAGCAAAGGTAGACACATATTAGTCAATTCTTACCTGCTTTCTTTTGAGTATTTCGAAAAGGTTGCAGCAAAGACCTACAAACTATTTGCTCCTATATCTATCAGTTGTGACTTAGCCTATGACATGATGTAGAATACACAAAAAAAGGCAAATTATAACATTTCAAAGATGTTTGTTATTGTATTTTGTTGTTTTTATTCAAATAACTAATGTTACATTATGGTTTTTCATCAGCTTTGATTTTTCTTATCTGCATCATTTGCGAACATGTCCTCTCCTTTGGATTCAATTATCTTCACTAGCTGAGATATCGAGGGGTTTCACTCTACAAAGTCCCATTCAGATTGAGCATGAAACTGAGAATTGGGTGCAGAGTATTCCTGTTCACTGTGTCTCTCTATTTTCCTGTCATTTGTTCTAAAAATGAAGTGTTATTTGGCTGGTAATATTCAGCACAATTTTCCAAGTCCACTCAGAGTTTTCAAAACAGCAGACAGGAAAACTTACTTGTGTGGGAGACAAAATGTCAGTTTCTAGTTAAATTTTTGCTATGAAGCTCTTGGGGCATTTATGGTGCTCAGGCTTCCCAATCAAAATCAGTTTGTATTCATTAGCAGGTCACAAATTCTCAATAACGCAGGCCCACTGCAATTTCTTTTCTTTGTGGATGGAATGTGGCTAGTATTTACTGTTCATCTCTAACTGTCCAGGGCAGTGAAGAGTTACCCACATTGTTATGGGTCTGGAGGGTTACTTGTGGGCTACCCTGGGTGAAGACAACAGATTTCCTCTCCTTGAAAGTGGTTACATGGTTGCAATATCAGGTTTGCTTTTTAATTCTAGATTTATTTGATTGAATTCAAATTTCATCATCTGTAAAGGTGGGAATCAAACCCATTCCCCTGAACATAAGTAGACAAGATGGTGAAGAAGGCTTGTGGCATGCTTGTCTTCATCGCTTGGGCATAGAATATAAAAATTGGCAAGCCATTTTTCAGCTGTTTAGCTTAGCCACATTTAGAATATTGTGTACCGTTCTGGTCACCACACTACCAGAAGGATATGGAGGTTTTAGAAAAAGTACAGAAACAGTTTACCAGGATGTTGCCTGGTTTGGAAGGTATTAGCAATGAAGAGAGATTGGACAAACAATAAATGCTGGCATTACCAACAATGCCAGTGTCACATCAGTGAATAAAAAAATGGAAAGATGCTAGCAGGGCCTCCACGATAGGAGCAACCTAATGACAGCCCAAAGATGACATTTACTCTGACAAATACAAAGTATATATCTCATTCCTCTGCAGTCTTCACAGATCAATAACTCCACGCCAAATGCTAAAACCACTGAACCCAGAAGCTACGTAATTTTTGATAAAACTAAGAAGATGAAGAAGGAGGAGTAGAAGAAAGGAAAAGCAATGACAACAAAATCTGAGACATGAGACTCAGGGGCTCTGGTTAAGGATGAATCAGCAGGGCATGAAAATGGGAACCATAGTCGCAGAGTTTTCAGTGCTATCAAGCAGTGGCCAGAGAAAGGTGTACGTAGTGTTGTGCTTGCCACAGACAAGCCAACAGTGAGAAGCAATGTGATGTCTGTATTCACCTCGTTGTGAGGAAAGGTCAATGAACTGATGTGTGAGTTGTGGAGTGTTACAGCTCCCTTTTGAGTTGAAATGTGAACCTCCATAACAACCTCAGCCCTAGTGACTTGGGACTATTGTTGCCATCCTGTGAAAACAGCACATCTCTCTTCTCCAAATTCACTTGCAGGAGAACCTCAAGGAAGTACTGCTGAAGCAGGAGGCTGACTTCTGTTGCGTCTCTGACATCCCCAGGGGTGGACAGGGGTAATGAGCCAAAATCCACTCATGGTCCTGGATTACAGGGAATGAAGTGCTATCCAGGTCCCTATAAAAATAGAATCTGGAAGCTGAAGCCTGGAAGAAGTCCCTCCCATTTTTTCACCCGCCTTCACACAGCCTCAGCAATGAAAATTCTGCCCATTGTGTCTGAGTTATTACCTTTGAAGTACACATCTGCATCTTTGAATATGAAGTAATGTTCCATTTAGCTTCCAGCACAAAAAGGAAACAAGTGTCACTCTGTAGTTGTAGTCATATACACTACAAATGATTAGACGAATAGCTATTAATTTATTTCTTACTGCTGGAAGACTCCATTTGGAAAGCAGCATACAATATACATCAATATATTGTTCAAACCTGGTAAAGAAATTCCAGCAGCGTACATTGGTGTCACACAAGTGCCAGGCAAGGACCCTACCAACAAGAGAGAATCTGACCACTCAATGACATTACCATCGGTGTATACCCCACCAATGACATCCATGTGATCACTGACCAGAAGCTGAACCGGACTAGCCATGTAAATACAATGGGTACAAAAGCAGGTCAGAGGATAGGATTTCTGCGGAGAGTAACTCAACTCTTGTCTCCCCAATGTCTGTCCACCATCTACAGGGCACGAGTCAGGACTGTGACAGATTGGTCTCCAGTTGCCTAAATGTGCAGAGCTCCAACAACACTGAATTAGTTTGACACCATCTAGGACAAGTTAGCCTGCTTGATTGGCACCCCATCCATTAACTTCAACATTCACTCCCTTTACCACCAATACACGGTGGCAGCAGTGTGTGCCATCAAGAAAATGCACCGCATTTAGCCATCAAGTTCCCTTGTTCCCCAAGTTATCAACAGAACTTTCCAGACCTGCGATCTCTACTACCTAGAGGGCAAGGGCAGCAGACACACACAACATCACCACCTGCAAGCATTCCTCAAAGTCAAATACCATCCTGATTTGGAAATAACTGTCATCCCTTCATTGCGAATGGGTCAGATTCCTGGAACTCCCTCCCTTATAGCACTATCGGCGTCCCGACATTCCAAGTACTCAGGCAGTTCAAGAGAGAAGCTTGCTACCATCTTCTCAAGGGCAAACAGAGACGTTCAGCATGGAAACAGACCTTCGCTCCAACTAGTCCATGCTGACATGACATCCTAAAATAATCTTGCCCCATTTACCAGCATTTGGCTCATATCCTTCTCAACCCTTCCTATTCATGGCACCCATCTAGATGCCTTTTAAATGTTGTAATTGTACCAGCTTTCACTTCTTCCTTTGGCAGCCCATTCCATAGACACACCACTTCCTGTGTGAAAAAGTCCCTTGGGTTCTTCTTAAATTTTTACCCTCTCACGTTAAACCTATGCCCTCTAGTTTTGGACTTCCCCTTCCTGGGAAAAAGACCTTGGCTATTCACTTTATCCACACCCTCATGATTTTATAAACCTCTATAAGATCACTCCTCAGCTTCTGAAGTTCCAAGGAAAATCGCCTCAGCCTATTTGGCCTCTCTGTGTAGCTCAAACCCTCCAAGCCCAGATACATCCTTGTAAATCTTTTTTGAAACCTTTCAAGTTGAATAACATCTTTCCTATAGCAGGGAGACCAGAATTTAAGTGTCAAATGCTGGGCCAACCAATAATATCCTCAACCAATTAATGAACAAAGAAAATACAATTGCTTAACTTGTATTTTAAGAAGCTGTTGACGATTTCAACATCATTAGTAAATTTGACACAAACATTTTAAAAAGTCTAAGTTTCTTACCTCCCATGAAATTTTCATATTGTCAATATTTGTTCCTTCTCCTTTTACATTTTTTGGATTCTTCTCTGGAGCTAAATAAAACAAAAACAATGAGGTGAAATTGCTTTCTATTAATAACAAGCTATCTTTCATAGGTTAATTCAATCCTTGGATAAATTTCAGACGAATTAAAAACTCAATATTGATTTTTCAACTCCTAATTGTTGCTTTTCTTTTAAACAATGCAGATTCACAACTGTGTTTGAATCATATGACAATGGATAAACGGTAGAAATGATGTGTGTTACATATAAATCTAAAACAATGGATGGCTTAACAGAATAACAGCCTGATCCTTGTTCGAAAAATAGTAACATGTTAACAATGCATATCATAATTAATATGCAAATCAGACAACCTGTTCAGGGAGTTAAGAGTTACACCACGGATGTTATTTTCTTCTTCCTGGAGGTGACAAGATAGGTCATGAAAGAAAAAAATAATCGGCAGAATTAGCCCGGCAGAGATACTCAGCCCTTCCTCACCACCTCATCAATTAAGTTCTGGGCGAGAAAGTCTACTGTGGACTTTTTCAAGTCTCCAGTCATGAACCAATTAAAGGCCATGTAAGGACTTCAATTCACCGCCTTCTTGATGACCTGCCTTCCTGGCAGGTGAAAGAAGTTGCTGGTTTCCTGACTGCATAAACAGGGTGACCTAACTTCCAAATGGGTGGGGAGTTAAGAAGCAGACTCTATTGGCTCCAATTTAGGGATAATTAGGGCAAATGAGTGGGGTATGAAAGCCACTCTCATTTACTTGAATCTCTGACCCCATTCTTCTTTGGACCTCACACCACAAGGAGAGAAAGGTGGTCCGTAATGGGGGTTATGTCAGCAATGGTAGGTAACACACCAGGGAGCTGTCTACTGAGTCCTGGGAAAAGTGGGCAACTCAAATCTGGGATGGGCTTCATTGTACAGGGTCGCTGAGGGAATGATCACTGTGACTGGGGGCAACTGCAGATCCTAAGTTGATCGGATGGGAACAGCTTCGGAGGCAGGGATTCACAGGCACAGCAACAGGAAAGGGAATACGAAGAATGGAGGAAAATTTGTATGCTACAGGCAGCACCTGCAAGTGACTCTCGTAAACACAAAGTTGGAACACTACCACATTGACTGAAAGTCAATTGAGTAATAAATGCACAAAATGGGTGGAGTATGTTACTTTTTTTTTCCTTTTGGGGCGAAGCAAACAACTTGGATATTGAAACTTTCTTTGGTGCTTTTACAATAATCGTTCATTTGCTGCTCAAGTAATATCACGATCTGCCTTCAACTTGCACTGCATTTGCAGGTTATTAATTGCCCGAGAATGCAGATTTTAAATTTGAACTCAATCATTACAATGTACACACTATTTGCCTCCACCCTCTGAGCTAGAGGGTTTGTGTTCAAACCTCACCTCAAGATATGACAGTCATGTAGATGATTCATACTATGTACAAACAGACCAATTAAAAAAGCATCATTCTCATGTAAACTAAACAAGTCTCATGACAGAAACAATTTGTCTACCACCCAATAGGATAAAGTCACATCCTTCGAACTCTTTATTGAGGTATGACTATTACCACTTTGAGAAGACTCCATGCCATTCTGTGTGAAGGCATGATATGATGCTTCATTGGTATGGTTGTGAAGGCTCAGGATTTCCTTCAACAACATTCCATTATCTTTCTGACATTTGCCATAGAGCTCATATAGAGAACGCTGTTGCTGGAGTCAAGGTGACCTTATTGATTTATCAAAGACAATGCAGAAGGAGATAACAAATTTTCAGCAAACCTAGCAATTTCCAGCGGCTGCTGTAGTATCCAGGGTGAGTAGCAACAGGACGTGGTCTGTAAAATAAATGCCTCACTATCATTTTCTTTATCTGTCTGAAAGACAACAGATGACAATTAAGCATGTCTGGCCACATCCAGCAGGACTTGCGTTCACACTGATTGGTGACAGTGGGGTAGCCATTGAGCTTACAGATACCCTGAAACTGTTATCTGTTGGTTCATTCCTGGAAACAACTGATGTCCTGTGTGGCATCTCTCATACCTTGACATATAAATGCATCTGGGGTGTGGCCAATGCCAATTTCATCAAAGCATAACTCCTCATATCATATCACATGTGGAAGTGATGGCCAAGTGATATTATCCCTGAGCTATTATTCTAGAGATCCAGGTAATGTTCTGGGTGATCAGGTTCAAATCCCACCAGGGCAGATGGTGGAATTCTAATTCAATAAATATCTGGAATTAAGAGTTTAATGACAAACATGAAACCATTATTAATTGTCAGGAAAAACCTATCTGGTTCATGAATATCCTTTAGGCAAGAAAACTGCCATCATTACCTGGTCTGGCCTACATGCGACTCCAAACCCACAGCAATGTGGTTTACTCTTAAATGCCCTCTGGGTAATTAGGGATGGGAAATAAACGCTGACTAGCCAGTGACACCCTCATCCCGTGAATGAATAAAAAAAAACTCATCATCAGTTCTGAAGAAGGTTTGCTAGACCCATAACATTAACTCTGCTTTCTCTCCATAGATACTGCCAGACCTGCTGAGTTTTCCCAGAAATTTCTGTTTTTGTTTCTTATTTCCAGCATCTGCACTTTTTGTTTTCTCCATTTAGTCCTCATATCCTTCCTCCTTGAAGATGAAAGTCAATTGGCTCATGAATTGGGATTTTCTATCATCACTGGCTTCGCTCAGACTCAAAGCGCTACTTACGGCACCCATTTTGATTTGACAGTTTCTCAACCTGTAAAGTTTATGGACAGAAAAGGCTTCAGCTTGCTTAACGTTCAAATTATATGTGAACATCGACTGGTGGTCTGAGTCAGACATCCAGGGAACTGTCATGACTCTTAGAAACTGGAAAACTCCCAACTGTTTGTGTTCTTCCAAGGTCCTCAGCCCAACCATACATGAATCCTGGGAGATCAGAGTACCTCCTCCAAACATGGCTCATAGCACCTTTAAAAAGGAATGAAACTGCTCACGTTTCAACAAGGGGCCATACGGGAATAGACTATAGGCCTCCTGAGGATGAGTTTTCAATGCTGGACTGCTCAAGTGTGGCCTTACTGTACAGTTCAAAACAAGGTGTCCCACCATATTGTGGCATCTTGTGCCTTTCACAATGGAAATTGACAAAGGAATGATGCCCTCGATGTGGATGAAGTGGAGAAAGACAGCAATCTTCTGAGGATGAAGATGACACAGACAATGAAGACATGAACCAACAGGGCCCTCAAATGTTTCAGAGTATGCATGGACTGCTAAATGGACCTGAAATGCTTGAGCTTCCTCTAGGACAATGTTAAACCTGTGAGTAGCAGCACTTTGTGCAGTTTTTACATATGAGCATACAAAATAGGAGCAGAAATAGGCCATTTGGCCCCTTACTCTTGCCCTGCAATTCAATGACATTGTGGCTGATCTGTTTGCATTTCAAATTCCAAATTCCCATCTACATCTAATAACCCTTGATTCCCCAGCCTAACAAGAATTTATTTACCTATGTCTTTCATATATTTAATGATCCGCCCTCCTCCACTGCCTTCTGAGGCAGTGTTCCAATGTTGCACAACCCTCTGAGAAAAAATATTCTCCTGCTACATCTCCCTGTCTTCAATGTAAGTGCACTCCCTTGAAAAGATGATGCACAGAATGAACATTTCCCTGTGGTGGCATGTGGAACCATCAACCATGACGTACTCTCACTCATTAGGTGGGTTTAATTATGGAATGATGTGTGCAGGCGAGGCCCTAACACAATCCCTGCACAATGCCTTCAGCCTCAGTCTTGCCCACATTACTATGCAATGCCTTCACTGTGGTCCTGAGTATTTTGGTTCAAGGATCTGTGAGATTCTCTGCAGTAAAGGGGATGGTAATTTGAGAGAATTGAGGAAGGTTTGGTTAATACAGCTTCATCATTAGATGTCTGAAGAGGCTGTTCATCTCACTCACAGGTGCAATTTAACCAGGTCTGATGTGAAAATTATACGATAACAAACACTGTAACAGTGCAAGTATAACTTCATTAACAAAAGTGAAAGCAACGATGTAGCACCCATGTCACCTATGTGCCCTCAGTGTGTTTTCTTCTTCCTCTTCCTCTTCCTCTTCCTCCTACTTCATTGAGGTTTAGGCCAGACTTCCACAGCTGGAGTGAAGGGAACTTGCTCAGTGATTTACCTCATTAACCTGGAGGACTGTGCAGTCATCCTCTGTGGTCCTTTGGGCCAAGCAGGCTCAGGCTTACCCAGTCTCCTGCCTAGGTAAAGATTCGTTTTCTCCGCTTTCATACAGCTGCAGATTTTTGGGATCACGGGCAAGGGGAGATGTAGGGCCCTAAGAAGCAGCTTCTGGGAGTCTATGTGTTGCTCCCCGTCCCTGTGCATGGATGCAGGCACCACCCTCTCTCCCTGAGAAGAGGGACACTTGGAGTGAGTCCAAGGTCCCTCTCTTGATTTGCCACTGATACTGAGCACCCACGGCTAAAGCAATGGACTGCAGGTCTGAGTGCCTGTCAGCAGGCAATGACCATTGACCCCATGTGCTGGACCTGGATCTCCAAGGTGGTTGTTAAACTTCCCATCGAGGAAGCCATATGCATGTATGACGGAGCTAGCGGACGCACAGAAATGACTACTCGCCCTTCATTCCAGCTTATCAATAGCCTCTAATTAACTTTCTTGATATTCCTGTGCCTGTCTCTGCAGGTTTACTTACGGCCAAGCACATGGTCTTCCCATGGCTGAGCAAGTGCCTGGTTTCTGGCAGTCCTCCAAGTGCGGGGGACCTGGAGCATTTCTTCCTGGACAGGCCGTGCTCACCACAGTGTGTCCCTGTGTCTAATCTCAAACCCTCTGAGCATGCAGGTCTAAGCCTTGCCAGTGTATTCCCTGAGGCTCCCACTTGCTTCCTCATCACAGAAGGAACTGAGGGTCTCTCACAGTGTCTCATTGCTGGCTGTGCATGCATGAAAAGACAGGGAATTAGTTGGCAAAGGTGAA